TATCAACAAAGTTGAAATGGTAAATTGGCAACCGTAACGATTACAAAAGCTGACGTTTCGAGCGTTACGGACACCCGTTCTTAAAGGCACAGAAAATCAGAAAGGTGGAATGGCGAAAAATCAGTCTAGAAAAGTAAAATTCTCAACCAAGCGAATGATTTCCAAAATGAAAAGGCACCGCACGTCGGCGCAAAGTGAGTGTGAATATTTTCACAACTCAATAATTACGTGTATCGCTTCATGCTAATAACACTTAAAAATCCAACCAGTCTTCAGACTCGCTGGAAAATTATCTTACAGAACTAATCTCTTGCTTTGTCTGGATAACTATCGCTGTTTTTGACAATTCTGAAGGCGAGGGCGACTGACGAACCACGATCGCACTAGGTAACGACGGCCAGCTAAAGTCAGCAAACAGCACAAAACTCCAAACAAAATGACTCCCCTGTACCGCTATTTGTTAAGACGTGGCTTTAGTATTAAAAATCCATTCAAAGGATCAACCATAATAAACAAGGAGAAGTATCAAGGATATTTTCCGACTTAACACCATGCAAAAGGCGGACGTTTTCATCGAACTCAGTCCACAAACACATGGAAGCACTTGGCAGCCTAATGTTGATGGCCACTGACCACTGTGACGTCACCAAAACGTATTTCCGCAGTGTCGGGCGGACACAAGAAGGGCATCTCGGTTCCGCTTAACCTCCAAATATTCATTCAAAGGAGAGCGATTTTTCTGTCCTTTCCTTGGCGGCATGTCGTCGCACTCTGTTGCTACGCGTCTTTATCCACATTCTGTTGACAAAGTGAAAGCCGCTCGCTTAGTAAACCTCAAAATGCTCGAAAGTCCAGCGATGGTAGTCGTTGAAAAGTTCAGATATCAAGGAAACGAGACAAAAATAAAAAATTCTGAATCGGACAAGTCCTTACCAATGAACGCATGATTCCGTACCTTTGTCTCTTGCTTCTGGCCGTCTTGTCATTTTAAGGTTAAATCTTTTAAAGATGCCTCAAAAATACGCTTTGCTTTACGACGCCATGACAGTCTCCTCTTTCCAACCCAAGGAAAACCAAAAATAATTCTCCTACTATGCCATGTTTAGTATGAAATTAAAGCTCTTGAGTGGAACTAGAAGTTGGTTGCAAATTTACTGCGCTTTGATTGAACCATAATTCATAGAAAGCCTGCGAAGTTAACCATTTCCCAGCTTTGCGCCAGACCTCCGCACGGCCAACATGGCAGCGGAAAAGAAAACGGAAAAAAATATGGCCAAAAAATACACCAGAAATCCCCAGCGTGACTGATAACATGCTCCTCTGAAGATTAAGCGAGCCAGGGGAAGTAAAACCCCATGGGTAACATCGAAACTTGCTGAAATGAAACGAGATGAAGACTATCACCTCAGGAAAGCACGCTCCGCCAATAGTACTTACCCACTGGGGAATGTACAGAAAACTGCGGAATTACACCAATGACGAAGAAAAGAGTCTCAAGTCGAAATATTTTTGTCACATGATTGAAGACGCCAAGGTTGATTCCTATGAAATGTGGCGCGCAATAAAACAGGTACTCCCCGGTAGGAAAAAGTCGACTGTTTCTTCAATCTTTGGAAACGGGAAATGGCACACTGTAAATCTTTCCATCGCAAAGATTATGAACCAGTACTTTGTGTCAATTGGGAAAGTACTAGCAAAACCGTTTCAAAGCATTTCGACTGCTTTTACTTTCAACACCCCTTCTTCTGAATTTCAATTGGATAATGTTAATGTGAACTTCGTCCGTAATGCTCTTAAATCCTTAAAACCTAACAAAGCTGTTGGACTTGATAAGCTAAGTGCACGCATGTTGAAGGATGCTTCTGACGTCATCGTCCCAATACTAACTGGTTTGATCAATAAATCCTTCAGTGATGGAGTATTTCCTATAGTCTGGAAATGAGCAAAAGTCATTGCATTATTCAAAGATGGAGA